ATAATAAATAAAGTTAAATAAAATAAAAAGACAGATGGGGAAGTGGGCAGGAAAATAATCAAAGGAAAAGAAAATGAGAGAGAAAAGCAGAAGAAAGGTGAAGATTTATTTTTTTTTTAATTTTTTATTTTTTAAAGAGGTTTTTGCTATACGGCACGTGCGCTCGCCAGACAGACAAAGAGAGACAGATAGACAGAAAGTGAGAAATCACCCCCCAGGGGGGATGGCCACGCTGCAATCCCTTCTCCTCCATTTTCCTCTCAGGATCCTGGGCATGCATGCACAGGCACCCGGCATGAGTTTAAGCCACCGGGTCCGGGACTCGAACTGTGGTCGACTACATGGGAGTCTAGCGACACAGCCATTACACTAACTGCTGGCCCCGAAAGGTGAAGATTTTTATACAGAGGGAGAGAGAAAACAAGGAAGGAAAATATATATATGAGAAAAAAAATGATGAGGAAGATGGCCTCAGAGGTGAAAATGCTATCTTTTTATTTTTTATTTTTTGGAGAGGTTTTTTCGCTATAGGGCGCGTGTGCTCGCCAGACAGACAGAGAGAGACAGAGAGACGGAAAGCGAGAAATCCCCCCCCCACGGGGGATGATCACGCCGCAATCCCTTCTCCTCCATTATCCTCTTGGGATCTTGGGCACGCACGCACACGCGCCCGGCATGAGTTTTAAGCCACCGGGTCCAGGACGTGAACTGCGGTCGACTACATGGGAGTCCAGCGACATAGCCATTACGCTAACTGCTGGTTCCCTGAAAATGCTATCTTAAGGTAATAATTCAGGGTATCAGCAACTGTTGTCATTATCTTTATTATTTATTTATTTATTTATTCATTTAATGTGCTATAGGGCATGAGCTCTCACCAAAGAGAGGCAGAGAGAGAAAGAGAGAGAGACGGGGCAAGCGAAAAAGCACCTCCGAGGGGAAATGGCCATGCAGCAATCCCTTCTCTTCAATACTCCTCTGGGGATTTTGGGGCACATGTGCATGTTTTTCAAGTCACTAACTCCAGGACTCAAACTACAGAGTTGGCCATGTGCAGTCCAGCTGCCTTAATCAACAAACCACTGGCCGATTCAGTCATTATCAGTCATCACCCATTTAGCTAAAAGGCTCTATTCTAAGGCCTGTAACACATCAGGAAAGAAATTGTTACCGGAACAGAAATTGTAGTGACTAAATCAAGGTTAGCCAGAGAAACCTAAGTGACTGCTAGATTCAACCAAGGACAAAGTTCCATTTCCTCTGGCAATATACTTTCAAAGCATATTCCATAGAATCTCTGTTCTACATTCAATACAGCTCAAATTTTCCTTTTTCTAAAACCTTACCTAAATCTGTCAGCATAATCACTCTCGTAGCATTCCGTATATATCTCTGTTTCTTTCACTGCATTGCAATTATTTATACACCTGTTTTAAACCACTAGCCTGGGAATTTCACAGCATAATTTGAGTTTTATTTAGCTTTCTCTCCAAATTCTAGCACACTCCCTTGAATAAAGTAGACATTAACAAATACTTGCTAAACAAATTCAGGTAATCCACAAAATATTTCTAGGAATTTCTTGATCACAAATTGTGAACTTAACTTTCTGTCACATAATTGCTAGTTTCCCTTCTCCCAAAGAACACATAAAGATATAACCAGGGTCGGCAACCAGCAGTTAGCATAATGGCTATGTCGCTGGACTCCCACGTAGTCGACCGCAGTTCGTGTCCTGGACCTGGTGGCTTAAAACTCACGCCGGGCGTGTGTGCATGCGTGCCCAAGATCCTGAGAGGAGAATGGAGGAGAAGGGATTGCGGCGTGACCATCCCCCGTGTGGGGTGATTTCTCGCTTTCTGTCTCTCTGTCTCTCTCTGGCTGTCTGGCGAGCACACATGTCCTATAGTGAAAATCTCTCCAAAAAAAAAAAATATAACCAGGGCCAGCAGATGGCTTGGTGGTTAAGGCGCTGGACTCCTGCATGGTTGACAGCGGTTCAAATCCCAGACCTGGCAACTTGCTTTCTCACTTTCTCTTTCTGTCTGTCTCCAGTCAAATTAAATAATAATAATAAAATGAAACAACCCTAAAAAAGCATACAACAATCATAAATTCCCTATAACAACACTTACTTGTATTTTTTTTTCTCTAACATTTTGAGGACTGGGATTTTATTTTCCCTACTCAAGGATGAATGCTTATACAGTAAATAATATAAATTTTCAGAGATGTTGGGACAGATGGTACTTATTTCCTATTCTTCATGTTCCCACAAGGGGATTTTTCTGTAGAGGAATAGTCCTGGCTGGTGGGCTGAAATCTGGCTGGGAGTTCACAAAGAAACTGGAAAAGAGTGGATCTGTGCCTTCTGGATCCCACTTTTGGAGTCAGCCTGTGTGAAGTCTGATAACAGAAAACAGGAAGAGTTTGTTTTCTGCTCTGCAGATGTGCCTGGGACCAGATGGACAAATCTCTTTAATTAAGGGGTGAAGCATTAATGAGAACTCCTGGCAGTAGATGTGAAGCCACAGCCACTATCAAATTAATCAAAAAGGTCAGGTTTTGGTCTCCTTCCACCTGATTCTTGCATTTATATCTCATTGGTTCTGAACTCTGGAGTGGAAAAAGGATGTTCTTTATTGCTCTCTAAAACCATCTCTCCCTCCTTCTTGTCATATTCCTGATCTACATAATTGGTGCCATCATCTGCCGTAAAGTCTTCTTCCTTCTCTCTTCCCATTCTTTCTGACCAAACCCTATCATTTCTACCTGGCTGAGTGAGATGCCTCATTCCCATCCTCCAAATCACCATGTTTCTCTAACGCTCACCACCAAGGTCATACATGAGATGGTAGAAAGCAAACTGTGAAGCTAGGCTGCTCAGGTTTGAATCCTGACTTTTGCCTCTTGCTTAGCCTTATGCCCTTTGTTTCCTCGTTGGCCAAGAGGGAATAATAGTATTTTTTAAAAAGAATTATTTTATTTAACTGTATTTATTTATTTATTTATTTATTTTAATTTGACCAGAGAGGGACAGAGCGAGCGAGTGAGCGAGTGAGCGAGCGAGAGAGAGAGAGAAAATGAAAAAGCAAGCTGCCAGGTCCAGGACTTGAAATGTGGTTGGCCATGTGGGAGTCCAGCGCCCATAGCCACCACACCACCTGCCAGCCCCAGAATAACAGTATTTCTATCAAAGAGTGATGGGAAGAGTTGGCAAGTGGTGTGGTAGTGGGGGTGCTGGACTCCCACAGAGCTGATCATGGTTCAAGTCCTTGACTTAGTGGCTTACTTTCTCACTCTTCCTCCCTCTATCTCTGGTCAAATTAAGATAATAATAATAATAATAAATATTTTTAAAGAATGATTTTATTTAACTTTCTTTCTTTCTTTCTTTCTTTCTTTCTTTCTTTCTTTCTTTCTTTCTTTCTTTCTTTCTTTTTCTTTCTTT